GTTAATTTTTAAAAATTACTGGGTAGTTAAATAAGTTAGCCCACTTAAAATTTGAAAAAATTGTCACTTCTGTCTGATAACTTCCCCTGTTCTTTTGGCTTGGAAACTCCTGGGGTAAAATTAGGGTTGTCCCAGGTAACGCTAAAAAAGTGGTATACCCTGGAGAAAAAAGGTCCTCAAATTGATAAATAAAAAAAATTTAACGTGTAAATGTATATGTTAAAATTAAAGAGGGAAGACCAAGGTATTTTTTAATTATTTTAAAAAATTTTTTTTTTCATTCGCAGCATTTTTTAAATTTAGGTTGAAAATCTTTTTTTTTTTTTTTTTTTTTTTTTTATGTCAAAAATTAGGTAATATTAACATTACTTGTTTTTCCCTGTTTTCAGTTGAAAAAAACACATTGATTTGGAAAATCTTGCAAAAATCAAGTACTTGTTGGATTTTAATGAAACTTTCAGAACTTATTCACAAATGAATGAAATTATTTTAGAAATGTTTGTCTTTTTGAAAGTCATGGTATAAATATATTTTTTTTTATATCTGTTACACCCCTCGAACTTAATTTTATGAAAACTTCAAAAATTTATTTTCAAAGCCTGAATTTGTTTTTTCAATTAAATGCACAAGACTGAAGATTCTAAATCATTGATTTTTTTTTTTTTTTTTTTTTTGGTAAAAAAAAAAAAAATGCGCAAAATTGTCCAAACTTTTACCTCAATTGTAGAAATACAAAACCCAATAAAACTGAGACAATATTTAATTTAAAAAACTTTTTATGACTTTTCTGAATAACATATACTAAGGTAATTCTTATCTGGAAAAAAAAAAAAATTTGAAAAATGAATTTTTACAGTAATTTTCTTTTTTTTTTTTCTATTTTAAATATACAATATGACAAAATGTTGTTATATATTTTAAAATTAAGTTTCTTTATAAAGCCTTATGGAAATGACATATTATGTTCTCTACTTCTTATAGATCATAAATTTGAAAGCTTATTAAAATCTGACAACCGTGAATATTTTTAAAATAATTTTTAATATTCCAAAATTGTATTTAAAATCGTCTCCAACGAAAGTACTGATGCACAACTTTGAAATAACGTCACGTGAGGTAGAGTTGTTTCCCTAGATAAAGCAAGTTTTTTTTTACTTCAGAAATTACTTTGCATTCATTCAGTTAACAACAAAGCAAAATTTGAAATCGATTGCATAGCATTTCAATATTAATTTTGTTAATAAATAAAATATGTATAACTCATTTTAAAAAAATGTTGTTACTGTTTCATTTTTACTTGTAAAATTTGATTTTTTTTCACAATTAAAATGTTAATTTCAGTGCAGAATTTTTTTTTCAAACGTAAGGTTAAAAAAAAAAAAAAAAAATTGAAAGTTATTTTTTTTTTATTTTTAAATTTACTAACCAGCTTCACTTAAAATTAGAACGAATTACATCACTTCTGTGCTACGATAATTTCCCTTGACGTAAGTTGTCAATATATTGACACCCATCAATTAACACCCTTCAATCATGCACTCGCGCCAGTACCACGGTTGGAAATATCTCTATTAAAAAATTTTCTGCTAAAAAAAGTAAATGTTTCTTTCAAATTACATTAAGTATACTTTAATCATTCTAAATTTCCTAAGATAACAAAAAAAAAAAAAAAAAGGTGTAATTGAATTTTAATTGATTTTTTTAATTTTTTTTTTCATGATCTCGTAGTTACTTCTGTATTTTCTTGTCTAGGTGATAAGGGAGAAAGGATATGAAGGCATGTCTTCTAACTGCTACCCTCACTCAACAAGAAAAGAGGAAAAGCAAAGATAAAAGGCATCAGAGACAAGTAAACATCTCTGTCAAAGATAAATTAATTTACCCATTAAATTTGTAGAAAGGAAAATATTTTACAGTAACTTTTAATAGAATCTTGAAAAACTTATCAATGTTTTTTTTTTTTTTAAAATTTGAACAATTGAAGAAATTTTATTCACATGTCAATTTCAAAAGTAAAATGTTCTTTTGATCTCTAGTCAGTAGTGGGTGAGTTTATGCTGAAGAATAGATACCTACACATTCCCCAATGTGTATCTATGTGTAAACTATGTTTGTCTAAATTCTTGCCAAAAGTTAAATCTGAGAATCAAATTTGACAAAGAAAATATAGACGGGAAGGATGATAGAATATAAAACTTGCCTTTGATGTGTCTTAGGATAGAAAAGGCATCTTTGAAAAAAACAAGGTTATTTTTAAAGTTTGCAGGCTAATAATTACTTGCATTTCCAGCTTTTTTTTTTTTTTTTTTTTTTTGTTGTTGTAAGTGAAAAATGAAATATATTAAAACATTTGCATTTCTATTGCTTGGCTTTCTATTAAAAGTTCAATCTGGCAATCTTGTCTCTCTTGTATTTCTGCCATAGATGGCTAGAAAATGTACAAACAAATGAACAACATTTAGACATTTGGCCAGATGTCATCAAATTTGTGAACTTGAGAAAGCAAAAATGTACTCGGACCAAATCCTTCTGCGACACTATCAAATGTAAATGATGTTTTATTTCCTGTGAAACTGCAAAAGACATTGAACAGTTTTTGGTAAAATATCAGAGTAATAAACTGTTGTTTCCTTTCCTTGCAGATTATCTTTTTTTAAAGGAAGAGCACACTGAAGAGATAATTACATTTTCTAAACTGACTGAATTTGTAAGAATTTTGTCAAATCCAAACATGCATAAAGATGCTGCAAAGATCAAGTGTGGGTATCTGGCAAATAGGACTGTAAAATTTATCCAAAATAGAAAATGTGTCAACAAAAGATCTGTTTGTCTTTGTTACAATTCTGCATGCAATGTTGATCACCATCATTGGGAAACTTCTGGCAAACTTTCCTCTTAGATACCCTCTTTTAAGGTGACTTGGATCCACTTGTGTGTGTGTGTGTATTTTTGGGGGGATGCCACAGAAGACAGTCTAAAAAGATGTCTTTCCTACATGATGGACAGAAAACAAGTCAACAAGTTTGATTGTGATGATGTCATCAGTCAGTACAAGGAATTTGAAGAGGATGTTTCTGGAAATACTGCTTTCAAGAATTTCAGCAAGCATGAACACCATCTGGACATTTTGTTCTACTCTTCTTTGTCTAGCAACAAAGAACTGTGCAAAGTTGTTTGCATATTGTTGGTACTCTCTTATGGACAGGTCTCAGTGGAGACAGGTTTTTCAGTCAATAAGTAAATTTTCACTGATAGTATGAAACAACAGACTCTAGTTGAACCATACATTATCATGGACTATTTGGCCACAGTTGGAGGTTCTGGGAATGTTCCCATGACTAATAAGGCTCTTCTTTGCAGTGCTTCCTATGCCAGGATAGCATACACCCAGTACTTTGTGGCTGAGATGAAAGAAAAGGCAAGAAGCAGCTGGACAAAAATGGAAATCCATGCTTATGGAAATTAAAGAACTGAAGACCAAAAAAACCACAAGTTCAGAAATTGCACACAAGATTTGCTAAAGTCAGCTGACATCTATGTGGAGAAAGCTGAGCAAACTTGGAACTTCACACTTATCACAAAGTCCAATGCCATGTGAAGATCTGTAAAGGACAATCCATAGATATCAAAATTGGAAGAGGAGCTGAATGCTAAACTAGATGAACTGGGAAAATGTTAACATTATTTTGTTCTGTGCCACATGCAACAAAATCCATGAGTAGTGGGGGTAGCTAAAATGTGTAGTCTTTTTGTGAAAATTTCTATTTGTAGTTCTGTTAATTAAAACCACATAAGCAGAAGTCAAGAATTTTTGTGACATTCACAAACCACAAGTAGTATAGATAGCTGAAATGTGTAGCAGTAAGAATTAAAGTAATTCACTATTTTCAAGTATAGTAGAATGCAAACTGTAACAAACAGGTCTCCATTCATTTGTTTTAGCCTTCAACACTTTGATTTCTTCACTGCTTTCAAATGATCCATGTGACATGAATTATTGGAACCAGCTGCAACTTTTCTTTGGACATCTTATCTGTTGTTTTTGAAATTGATGACCATTCACTTTGTGTGCACACCAGTTTCAGTCCTTGAAAAGTCCTGGGATTTTTTTTTTTTTTTTAACAGAACTGTGGGAACCCTGTTCAACACACCCAAGAAAATAAATTTTGTCATTAAATGACCCATAAGGAATTGATATGTTGTTAAACAAATCAATCAAAATCATCAAGTTCATTACTTGCTGTTTCCCCTGCTTCTTTTGCCTTCAATATATTCTGTATTATAGAAATAAGTTTTTTGTCATTCTAGTAATCATCTCTTTAGTATAGTTCTTCAGCTAAATGTTAATGTTTTCTTATTCTTTGACTTTTTTTATCAGTTTTGATTAGGAGTGAATAAGAAAATATTTTGGATAAAGTCTTTTACTCTATCTTAAAAGTAGAACTTAAGTTGATTTCAGTTTAGTTCTTAATATTTATGAAATGTCTTGTTGGCATTAGTAACCACTAACTCTCCCTCTTTATTACAATGAAGAACATTCTGCTGCTGGGTTAGAATTCCCAGGATCAGGTTTCTCCATATCTAGAACAGATATATTTTGATTCCAGCTCAAAGACTGTGAAGCAAAAGTATTTACCTGGCCTTCACACTAAGGCAGGATGTGACATAAGGTCTTTTTTAGCATGGGATACCCATAGGCATTCATAAGGTCATGGCCTGCAAGGAAAAAAATTGCCCAATCCCCATGACCACTGTAATGTTGGCATTTATATTAGACTGACTGCTCCTATCTTAGTGCAGAGAGAAAAGTACTGCCACAGGGTTGGAATTATTGGGATTTTCATCCTGGCAAAAAAGCTGAAAAGTGATCTAATTTTTAATCTTATTCCACAGTATTGTCTCTGTTGAGCCACAAAATTTTTTGTCTGTTTCTAAATAATTTTAACCCCATTTTTAACTATTGCTACTGTATTTCATTATACGAATTTTTATTGTTTTAGGGTTTACAAGAAGGTACCAGAGTCCATCAACATTTATTACTTTCCACACAGCAACTGGACAAGGTGAGTCATTTCAGTTCACATTTGCAGATTCTAAAATAAGTTCTATTGTACTTAACTTGTAAGAATTATGATCTTCATATTTTTTCATATTTTGTAGAGTGTTGTATATTAAAAACAGTTGTAATCTCTTTGCTGCTGCTTTTTTTTTTTTTTTTTTTTTTTACTTCAGTTGATCATATATGTTCAGAGATAAAAATGCATTTTAAAGTCATTGGTCTTGTATCTGTTAACTCTTTACAAGTATTATTACTGACGGACATATTGTAAATTCATTGATGATTTAGCCATGTAAATTTTTTTTTTTTTTTTTTAACTAAAAGTGGATATAACCATTTTTGCATAAGAGAAATAATGTACTTTTTGAAAAGCTTTTGGTTTTGTTTAGTAAAATATAAGTATGCTTTTATACAAATAACATTTTCTACAATATTGTTCATTTAAAGATTTTTTTGTTTTTATGACAATCTTTATTGAAGTTGTAACATGATCCATACACCTCTTTACATGAAATATAAAATTTTGGTTTATAAAGTTTGCTTTTAATGTGAATTTTTTCTTTTGTTGCTTAAATTTAAAAATATTTTTAAAAGACAAAGAAACAATATGAAAGAGCATTCAGAGAAGCTGAAAAAGCATTGGAAGCTTACAGAAAAGCAGATGCTGATATTAATTTGTCTCGAGCAGAAGTAGAAAAGGTAAGAAACATAATTTTATATAATTTTATAATCACAGTTGAAAATATAAGTAAATTTGGATAAAAAGTTAAGACTTATTAACGTTATTAGAAGTTATTAACCAGATCAGCATAAATAGTTGGTTGCAGTTGAACTTGAGATTAATAATATCGTTCTGTAATCCTTAGGGGTGGGGTGAATACTTTAGTGCTTACTGGGATGATACAAATTTTGAAATTAAGATTCTATTATATTTATTTTAAAAGTAACTAGCAACTAATTTGTTAAGGAAAAAATTAACTTTTCACTAATAGTGAAATCTAATAAATGGATCATATGTGTACACACACAAAAATTTAAGTGTCTCATTTTATAACTGGAATTAAAAATGGAGTTTGAAGGATTTAAATTTAGATATTTGTATTTTTTAAATGTGGGGGATTGGGATTTAATTGTAAGAAGTTTGCTTTCATAAACAAAGCAAGATCAATTTTTCTGTAAATTTTTGTTTAAAAAACTTGAATGAATTATTAACAGATATTTTTATTAGTTATCATAAACTAGATTCCAAAATACAAGGGAGAATTTAAAAAATAAACAAAAAAATCTAGTCATAATGTGAGGAAGGTAATTGTAAATGAAAACTTTTTTTAATAAACTTTATTGTAAATAGTTGAAATCCACTAATATTCTCTATATATGAAATGAATGCATAGAGCATAATTCTCAAAAACTGAGAATGAAAATTATTGCCATTACCACATAAAATTATTAAAGTGTTTTTTGTTATATTTATTCATTTTTATAACTATAGTGTTTTTTTATTTTTCTCCCAATGTTTTTATTATGCTACTAGCAACTATAAATGATAACAAAGTTATTAAAATAACATTTAAATTCCAGGATGATGGTGACATAACTTAGTCTGCAGTCCCGGGTTATAGAAAGGCCTTTTATCTCTAGTTAAAACAACTTTGACTATCCTTGCATTGTTTTTTTCTTTCTTTTTTTTTTTTTCTTCCCAATTTTAAAAATAGGTCATCATGTTGTTTGAGAGTTTAGCTTTAATATTCTGGCACATAGTCTAAAAAAAAAAAAAATTAAATAAAATTGCTGGCATATTTATCTTGTGAACAGCCTTTAGTCCATGTGTCTGTGTGGTAACTTGTAAATATCACTTTGAACCTTGTTGTTTACATCATATTTTCAACTTGAATATATTGTATCTTTATGAATCTTTGTCTTATGATTCTACATTAATCTTCAACAGTTAATCAAATTTACAAACATGTTTACTAAAAATAGACAAGATTTTTACTATGAAACCTTATCTATTAATAACAATCCATTGAAATACTCGTACGTATTCTGTTTATCAATCATTTTTCATCAGCTTACTGTTTTTAAATTATTTAGAAATAAGTAAAAGATGGATCTTGTTTTAACATATGCAGTGGTTGTTGACATCTTGTGTTGACATCATCAAAAATAAATTGCATAGGTTCATTTGATAACTTAAGATTGACTGCATTCATTCCTCTCTATGCCATGTTTGTTTTATTAAAATTATACATTAAAAAGAACTTTAGACTACAGTACATATCAAACTTTTGTAATTAAACAAAGAAAAACACCTGGTCATTTTCAGGACCTTATTCATTTTCTTTTCTTCCCTCCTAAATATATAGTGCACTTAGATTATTGAATAAATTTCAATTGAATATTCAATACACTGCAGGATGGTTATGTATCTGTATACAATTTAAAGAGAGTAGGGTTTGTTTTGTTTTTTTTATAGATTTATTTGAAAAAATAAATAAATAAAAAAAAAAAAAGTAAAAAAAATTGTAGTGCTACATTGCAAAAATTCTCTAGTAGCCTTGATGGAATTTTGTGCTAGAAATGCTCAGAGCCCCTATCTTAGTAGAATCTGGGCTTGTGCAATCCACCATTTTAAGGGTCCTGGAACTTAGACTCTTCCAATTAATTGTTATTCAATAGACTAAGAGAAGGTGTTATGAGTATTTCTGCAAGGCCTTCTATAATTGGCTGAGGCTTTACGTGCCTTAATGAAATGGTATTTATTCTTCCATCAGGGAATCTCCTGTGGCATAATCTATATTGACCTGAAAAATTTCTACTTCTGGCACTTGTGACTAGCTGCTACCCCCTCTTTCTAAACACAAAATCTTTCAATTCTACAGACATGAAGAAAGTGCATATTTTAATATTTGATATATTTAATTTTGTTTTTGTAGCAAAAAAACATCTCCATATCCAAAACTCAGTTTTCAGAAGATTGTAAGAATGATTATGCAGCACAGCTGGAAAATACAAACAAACATCAAAGAGATTATTACTCCTCATTATTGCCAAATGTGTTCCAGGTAGGTTTCTCCTGATTATGTTGCTCTTTAAAACACTCTAATATATATATATATATATATATATATATATATATATATATATATATATATATACACACACACACTGTAAATAAACTTCTTACTTCATTTCATATTTTCAAACTCATAGCATTTTTCTTTATATAATTTTCACATAACTGGGCTAAATAATAAATTTTATATCTTTGTACTTAAAAACTTTCAATTTTTCAATCCAGTTCAATTTTTTTTCACTCCATTTAAATTTAGTAAAATAGTTTCAGTGTCAGTTACTGTATTGGCATTAGTAAATTCACAATTATAACTTTTTTTTTTTTTTTTTTTAACCAAGAATTTCACAAAATATTAGGGGCACAACCTATCTGCTTGGCATAAATGTAAAACAACACTACCTTGTCATCATGATTTCTGAGAAATTGGAAATGATACCCAAACACTACAGCTGTGGTTTTTCTCCATATAGAAACAATTTATCTATCATATATACTGATTCACTGGTTTAAACTTACCTCATGCTGCTAGATTCACATATCCATCACAATAAATAAATAAAAATTATAAAATATTTATTGATCCTTCAGTCACCGTTTGGTTGGGGCCCTCTCACTTGACTGATATAGAAACCCTGAACAATAGATGCATACATAAGGAACCATATATAGATGTTTATTGACAAAGAAGAAATAGTCCCATGATTCATTCTGCAAAATTTATATATTCTGTCAAAAATACATTGGAAAATATGACTTAGAGAAATGAAAGATGTTCTTTGATATAATTTTCTTTGATATAATTTTCTTTAATGGTTGTTTCATAACATTAAAAGGTGTTCCTAAGTGTTATTTACAAATGAATTTAGTACCCAAAACATTTGCACTACTTTGCATTGCGCAGTGATATAGTTGGTAGCCAAATTTATAGTTTATAATTTTAATTGTTGCAAACTCTAATCATGAGTAAAAGAAAGTTATGAAGCAGGTTTTAAATTAAAAGTACTAAATTATGCAGAAGAACATGGAAATTGATCAGCAGAAAGACAGTTTGGAGTTTCAGAAAAGTTTGTCAGAGGATGGAGAAAGCAGAAAGATCAACTTGAAGAAATGCCAAAATCAAAGAGAGCAGCAAGGTATTCAGTATGTTTCATATCAAAATATGGAAAAAAGAATTGTATGGTTGGCTTGTGGACATTAGAAATAACAGCCTTATTGTAACAATAAAAATGTGTGGTAAATATAAAAATACCGACACAACAGTTACTTCCTTTTGTTTACATGATGATTGACGAAATGTATTTTAACTGCAAAAGTGTATTAATAATTGTAAGTTTTTAAATAAAGGTAGAAATAAAGGTAGATATCTGAATTCTTATGTTTAAAAAGGGCTGTGTAACTCCCCAGATTATAGTGTGTCCTATCTGCAAGCCAACAGTAAATTATCAAGCTATAAAGTAGGGGTGCAACCTATTTAGTGGGGTGACCATATCCCTGAATATATATATGGTAGACATATCTACCAACAACAAACGTTTGTTTTTATATATATATATATATATATATATATATATGTCAAAATGTATGACAAAGTAGGGGAAAAGGCTTCATATGACACCTTTTACCTGAAAGGGTGAAACTTGTTACACAAAAAAAAAAAAAAATTTTATACTTTGCCATACATTTTCCCCTCAACATTGTTCTTGATATATGAAAATTTCTCTCTCTCTCACACATATATAATATATAGCATAAATTAATAAAATGTAATGGGATTGATTCTGGCTCTATTTTATTGTCTTAAGAAGCAATAGCTAATTTATTACTCAAAATGCTTCAATGAATTGGTTGTTATAAAGGTCAGAGTTATAATTCTTGGGTCATAAGTATGACTTATATTTGATATTCTGTTTTGCTTAACTTAAGAAAGAAAAGTGTATTCTTAATATAACGTTTCTTTACACCAGATTGAATTGTCAGTGGTTGCCTTGAATGAGAATTTTGGCAAAGCAGAACATTTGTGTCTGTTGCTAAATCAAACTTGAAAACATAGATAATGAAAGGACAAAATGAAAAATTTTTTGAATGAGAACAAGAGTAACATTTGAGTCAAAGTACATTTTTGAAAAGAAAAATAAATCATTTGATAAAAAGGAGTGAGTGAGTTATTTGTCTTGTCAGCTTGTGGAAGATGAGTGCAGAGGGAATTTCACCAGTTAGATGAGAAATGTTAAAAGTTCAGTTCTCATTAAGAGTAAAATGGCACTGAAGCCACATAGAAAACTAAAGTAGGTCTTGTCTAATTCATGTGTGCTAGTGGTACAGGGTATATTTTTTGAAGAAGCTGAGACCTGTGTCCTTTGAGAGATCTTTGTATTTATCATTACTTTTCCAAGATATTTCTCTTATTTAATTTTTTTTACTTAGATATTTTTTCAGTGTATTCCCTGTGAATCCAAGTTTAGATTAACTAAGTTCTCTTTCTGGTTTCTATTTAATGTCTGTCTTATTTAAATTTGTGGATTGTGTCTTCCTGATCATCTTTCTGGCTTTTGGCATGTTGTGGAGGTGTTAAAATGAGCATTCTTCACTAACCATTTTCTTCAGTTTTCAAAAAGTTGGCATCAGTGATTATGAGAACAGCAACTTGTAGTAATATATCTGTATTAATCTGTTTCACATGCTTCACTGCCATGTCTTTGTCCTTGAACCTTACAGCTGGCTTGTTGAAATGTATTCCTTGCCATCTGTAATCCTTCTTACTAACAAAGAAAAAATCTGTCAGCTTTTATGTGTGCCTCAGTCAGTTATGCAAATTTTTTCATGTCCATATACAGGCATTTAATTAGTCCTAAGGCGCTAGATAATTTACATGACCATGTATGGCACAGGTGATATTGTGCCTCTTTCTTCGAGGAGGTAGGCCATGTCCATTACACAACTCTTTTCTCACTTGCCACTTCTTGGGTTTTACCCTAACATAATACCACCTGGCGAATGTTGAACCCCCCCCCCCCCCTTTGATAGAACATATACACTGATGCTCCTGCATATTCTTCACAAACAAAAAAGTCAGTTTTAAATGAAAATGAATTTAATAGCAGAAAATAAATTTCAAAAACAGTCATTATAAATCCAGTTAGATGTCCTAAATCAACTCTTGTTTGTGAGTAATGAATATTTATCTGACTATAAAATTAAGTCTGCTATTCTATACAAGTTCTGATGATGTGAATTTATGTATTAAAAACATTGCAGCATGCCTTTTTATAAAAGACAAAAGCATTTATTGTTTTTCTTATTAAACCCATCCTCAAACTCCACTGACTCCTTCAGAGTGGCTGCTCATCAAAAGTAAATTAATATTGCAACTTATTCTGAACAGGAATAAGTGACTATACAGGAGTTTAAGTGAGGTCATATAGCAGGGAAACCATTGTATGGAACTGTTGCTTCATTGATACAAGTTTACAAAATTATCAAGTTATTACATTTTTGTTTTTTCTTGTACAGTTTGGCCTTAAATTGTATTATAACATTTCTGACATTGTAATCCCAAATGTACTGTCGGTCTGGAGCACAAGATTTTGATTATTTTTATACTTTTAGTGAAGTATAAACTTAGCTGATATTTTTGTGATTTTTTTTTCTTTTCTGCAAAGCTTATGCTGTGCTCTAGATGGCATAGGTCAAGCGTTCAAAAACTATTACAGGTTTGCTTAAGTCTAAAAATGAAGGTAGTAGTTAGAGGTGGGGGGGGAGTATCTTGTTGAATTCTCACCAGAGATAAGAGTAGATTTAACTATACATTGTGTTTAAACTTGAAATGAATTCCTCTTTCTATTGTAGCAATTACAAGACATGGATGAGAAAAGGATAAGCAAGCAGAAACATTTTTTAAAAAATATTGCAGATACAGAGAAAAAAGTGTCCCCTATTATAAATAAATGTATAGAAGGCATGTATAAGGCTGTGGAATCTATTAGTCCAGAAGAGGTATGTATAGAAGTATTTTACTTATATAATTTTTCATAAATACAATTATTGCAAGAAGTCTTCAGCTATTGATTGCTCCCATGATTGTAATATTTATTCAGTTGAATGCAGATGTTGATATTAAATTGCATAATTAATCTGTAGCAGCAGTGATCCTCCTTCAAAGGTTTACTGTCACAGTAAACACACAATAGAAATATAGTTTGCACCAGTTTCACATGTTAATAGAGCATTTGGAGTTCCTTAAATTTTTCTAGGTGCTGAAGGGAACTAGATACATGAGTTGCATACTTATTCTAAAGTAAAAAATTTAATTTTTAATTAGCTTTTTAATTTCTCAACAGGTTATTAATAATGTATATTAACCAGATTAACTTATGAATTTTAGAAATTATTTGTCACTTATTTTATTTGAAGTTTTTTTAAGTACTTACTTTTGCCAGCTTTCTCTTTGGTCAAAAATTTCCCTTTTGAATCGGAATTTATATATTATTCCCAATTTATGAATCCAGTTTATTAGATTGCATTTTGCTTCTTTGGCCATAAATTGTTTGTAACCAAAGTATACAACAGGGAACTTTACTGATATGCTTTTTAAAGTTATTGTAGAGTAATTAGATATGCTTAAATGTAATTGACAGAAATGCTCAACAGAATTGACAAAGTTTGCAATAGACATTAAGTTAAAGAATAGGGCAAAAATATTATTAGGTAAAACAATGATAATAGAGCAAAAAGTTCAAATTAAGAATGGTGACAACACATAAAAGGGGATACAGATAAATGATTACAGTATTCTGTCTTCAAGATAATCTTATTGGCACTGAAGAAATCCCAGCATGCATATGTATGTTTTGTCTATAAAATTGGGGAGGGGATGTTTTTGCAGCCATTCTTACCAAGATTGGCACCTACAGTTATAAATTTTGTTGTTGGATTATATGAAAAGAGTATGAAAGCTTTATAGAAATGGCACATGAATAGCTTTGTGATTTGTATTGGGATATTTTCCTTTGCTAAATTTAAGTATTCATTTTTATAACTGAATATTTGCAATATTTTTAGACATCCGAAAATTGATTTTAATTTCATTTTCTAATGTTCTTTATCATTAATATTTACTTTTTGTGTACAGCTGATATTCTTACTTCTATTAGAACCATAAAATCATTTTACCTACTTACCATTTTTTTCTATGTATAATAAATCTGGACAATTTATGAATGTTTATCATTCATCTATCTACTAAAACAATTGCTGTATGACCTGAGGTTTTATATAAAAAAAAATTACATTGGCTTATAAGCATTATACTTTAGTAGTTTCTTCCTGAAAGATTCTGCTATGTCAATTAATTTCTAGTTATTTTTATGCCATGTCCCTTCAGATCCAGAAGAATGCTTTGTTTTAAGGAATATTAATCTGTCTATATAAATATAGTTACTGACAATATGTCAGGTTATTGATATGACCTATTTTATGCAATGATTATCTGATTTTATGAATTGTTTCCTATTTTCAGGATTTTGTGATAAATTTATATTAAAAATATTTTTGTGTGTCACTTGTCTTATGAAATGTTAAATGTTTAGCACTCTTTTATTTTTAATACTTAGAATCTATTTTATTGCCGTTAATTCTGTTGTGTGAATTACCCTGTGTATGATTATATCCTTATTAAATTCATCCTTTCTATTCAGGATTCCAGGTTAGTAGTGGAACTCTACAAGTCTGGTTTTGCACATCCAGTTGACCTCCCATTTGAAGACCTCAGCTGCCCTAATCATGGTGACAATAACTCCCATGCTCCTGCACCACGATCACAATCATCAACTGATTTTAAAAATCAGAACAAACCAGGAACAACAGCAGGCCGAACTAAAAAGAGAGGCGGACTCTTCTCATTATTTGGTTCTTCAAAGGTGAGCCACCCTAAAATTGTGGAGGTGGATTTCTATGATGACTCGAACCACCCAACTCCTCTGCTCTCTTTAGAAAACCCACCAACATTTTTCAACTCATGGTTTGTGGCATATTTTAGGACTGGCTTTATTTAGCTCGGTTATATTTGCAAGTCAAAAAAAAAAAAGACGCCATTTTTTTCCCCAAAAAATGAGATTTAAAATAGTGTTTATAGTCAAAAATGTTTTTATATCTCCTTCCAGTTAATGAGAATTACGTTTTATGAATAGCAAAAAAGTGCAATTTAGTAGATGTTATGTAATAATGGATTTAATCTTTTATTTGGCTTTTGTCATCAGATTTACAACAGATGCAGCATGTATTTTTTTGTAATAATGAAAACCTAATGTTATTAGAATAAAGTTCAGAATTTTATATAAGAGTGAATATTTTTTTAACTTATAGCTTTATTTCTAAAATCAGCTGATATATCAAAAAATTTAACTGAAATTTTATTACTAAAAACATTTTTCCTTGAAAGGGTTGTGAATCATTTTTTTAAAAGTTTTGTTAAACTATATAATGTTCTAATTTTCAAGATTATTTTTTCTTATGCTTTTAAGTTCATTCCTATATTTAAAGGATATTATTTTTTTATAGTTACTTGGTTCACTCTTTTCAATGTAAAAAAAATGTATTTAACTTGGGAAATCTGTATTTTGCTATGTTGGTATGAGAACATATAATTTGGTGGTTGTACATTTTGACATATACTTTCCTTTTTAGATATACAATCTATACTTAAAAAAAAATTAAACATTATTTGTCATGGTTAATTCAAAAGACTTCAGTTTTATTGCTCATAATAATATAGACTACATTTTCATTAAACAAAATATTTGATTCAGTTGATCTGGGAAAACTCATTTTCAAAAGTTTCAGTTTTTTTTTTTTTTTTTAATTTTAATCTTACAATTAGCTATTTTAAAAAGAAAATTAAAAATTCTGTTTCCTTTTAGTTTAGTCCTTTGCATAAATCTTTTTTCATCCTAGCTACAAAGGTTATGTAAATAATATATAAAAAAAAAAATGATTGTCCCGTTTACTGCTGTTTTGTTTTTGCCATGAACAGTGTTGCTTTACAAAAACTGACTGGTTTATCAGTTTAAGCTTTTAGGCACATCTGCAAGGTTATAGCTTGGAAATTTTTTTTTGCATGCAACACTTGGAAATTGAATGCCTGAAAAGTATAAAATGATAACATTTCAAATTAATTGGGCTGAGATAACAATTCTTTCAGCATTTGGTTAAATTTACCTAAATTGCATGTTTATATCACATGAATCCTGGAACTTAAATTACTACTGAGAATAGCCATTTTCAAGCCAATTTTGGATAATGCATGTATCTGCATAACAAGATTTGAAATTAAAGCTAAAATGTCTTGCAGTTTAAGAATTTTTCTCCTTATTTATGTAAATATTGAAACCTGGAAGAAACTTGTTAATCTTTATTTTTCAAGTGGACCTGAGACGTTGTCCTCTTCAGAAGCCTCTTCACCTTTTCCTTTTATGGTTATCATTGGAAAACCTAATGAAACTTCTACTTACCCACTTTTTTGCATTGTGGTCAGACTGCTTTTAATATTTTTTTCCTATCTCTTTTACCTTTTGCTTATTTTATTTTTCTGTGTTACAAATATTCAAGTGCTTATTTTATTTTTCCAACAAAACCAAACCTGTTTCAGGAATTCTGGTATTTCCCCACCTGAATCTAATATCTGTTATAAACTGTGTTAACAGCTGCTTGCTAGTTTTGAGTGGGAGGATTCAGATATATCATGACTTCTTTACCATCTTTGATAGCATTTAAGCATGGCATTTAAGATGCTGATAATCACTGTCTGTAGTTTGGCTCATTGCATTCAAATTGTAATATTTTGTGTTTGAGGCAATATCTTTCATTTCAATATGGATTTAGTATCTTTGACATAGCTGTTATTTTTTTTTTTTTCTGAAAATTTCCAAATTTCAAATTTTTGTTTGCTCCCAATTCACCCCCCCCCAAGTAATCATTTATTGAATTCTCTTTATTAGATGTTACTAGAATATTTACTGCCTAGTTGTGGAGGTTAAATTTCACCTTGTGATAAGACAGAGCCACTGGAGTGAATTACTTTGATATCTTCTAAAAATGTAGATTTCAAATAAAGTGGCAAAGCCTCAGTATCACAGGATGGCATAAATATTTGTATATCATTTTGTTTTCTGAAAGGTAGCATGGCAAAATGCTTGTGAAAAGGCATCAGCAGAAGAGTTGTAGCAAGTTAATTCTACTTGCCATTGCTGGATCTTATTTTTTATTTTGCTTCAGCTAAACATGAAAAACACTGTCATCTGGTATATCATAAGCATAATGTGTCTCCCAGAGAGTACCTCCAATTATGTACAACCTTTATTATTGCATTGGTCTTTTTTCCCCCCAGTTGAATGCTTGCATTCACTAGAAGTTAGAGATTTGGAAAAGAAAACCTCAGGTTTCCTAGTTTGGTTTAGTACAACCAAAAGTGAAGAGTCAAAGCATTAATTTCCACAGTAAAGGACAGTTATTCAAAGATAGCACTCACAATTGATTACTTAATATCTTCCTTCTGGCCATGGAAGAATTGAACTGCCTTTTCACTGAGGTGGGTGGACTTCTTTAGACTGTGCAAATGGGCACGATTTAAAAGAATAGTTTGGAATCCAGCAAGAATAGTGTAGCAACATTACCAGGTATAAGGAACTCAATCTTTCAGTATCTGGCTTTATAGGATTTTTAGCCCCAGCCAGCCATAGATATATTGTCCAAATAATTGTAAGTGCCCTTTAGTCTTAGTAATGAAGTTATTCATAGCTTGTTGAAAGTTTGTTACTCCATTTGTTACACCAAATAGTACAACTCTAAACTGGTAGTTTTCATTGGGCTCAAAAGCAATAAATAGCTTATTTGAGCCTTTTATCAGCATTTGATAGTAAGTATTCTTTAAGTCTAAGGTGCTAAAAACTTTGGCAAATTGTCCAACCTAGAGAGAAGATGAGTATCAAGAAAAATGAATTTGTTAATAGTTTGTCTAATCAATTACCAGCCTTTTCTTGTGACACTAGTTGAAGTAATCAACACTTGAGCCTGTTAATGGTAGTTACTAGGTTCATTACTGCTGCAGTCAATGTGTTCAACCTATGAAACAAAACTTTTGTCAGCATCATAAAAACATCTAGATCCAGTATTGATAGGCCAGCAGTCAATAACTAGATGAGAAAACAGGGAAGGTGAATTAATTTTCACAATGTTACAACATGATGGGAGTTAATCAATAAATTTTCTTTAGTCTCTCTGAATTTAATTATGATAGTCATGCATACCTAAAACACCAGGCTGCTCAAAGCCATGAATATTTTCCTATAATAGGGGATAATATCATATCCAAACATAACATTTCAATATATAGGAATCTGTACTTCTGGAATTGATTAAATCTGTCCAACTGTGTCCATCTAGTAGTAGGGGAATGGTTGCACAAGAGAGCCAACGAAGAATTATTGTAGTTAGGCAAGATACAATGCAGGCATGCAGAGGCTTATTGTTCTGGATAGCCAGAGATGTGGACTTGCAGGTTTTTGGGAAGTGTGTTGTTTTTTTTTTTTTTTTTTTTTTTCATCTTTAGCACTCATCATTTTGGATAGGGCAGGAGTTTAGGCTGTATCGCTCCATACCAGCAATGACATAAACCTACTTGATTTGAAGAGTCTACTTTGTCGTACACTTGTGGCCATGAGTTTCTCATTTTCATCTTCAGTGGCCACAGTAAGCTGTCTGTGGAATAGTACATAAAATTTCGACTGACATTGTGCTAATCCTGAGGAGGAGGCTTGATCATAAGCTGCCTGTAAGTCTTGTTCTCTAAGAAGCTAATCTAGTTATAAAAGCATCAGACATTGCCTTGTCACCATACTGCTGTGCACTATTGTCCTGAAAATTAGTTCTTTCTCTGTTTACCTAAATCTCTAAAACAACATGTCTAATGATTCACCAGGCTCTTGCCACCTGATAGCTAGTAAATGTCTGATGAAAGAGTTTCTACATACAAATTGTCTAGTCTAGATAAAACGGATTCAAATATTTACATTCTTCTTTGATATATTTGAAGATGCAAAAACTTGTGAAGTTTAAGACACTATATTCATTGGGAATCTTTTGATAGTCTGAAATAAAATTGGTAAAGATTCTATGTCAGTGTTATTCTCTGGTGGCAGTAGGTGAACTTTGGTCAATATCTAGATACTTAGACATCTAACTTGCTTTCCTGCTTTTCTTTTGGTAGTTGAATGAATATAAATACTTCATTCCACTACAAGAAGTCAACAAACTTGTATAATTCATAAGAACTAAATGTAAATATGTTATAAACTAAGGTGGGGCATAAGAACAAAATTTTTATTTTAACCCCCCCAAATACAAAGTATTTTGGTTTTGGAAAATGATTGCTTTTTTTTTTCTTGGGAAAAGAAATGTCAATATAATCAAATTAACTTTTTTTTCATTTTGTATATTCATCTTGTTGACATTAGAACATAATGTTATCTTCCAAAGGCATTAAAAATTGTTTGTGCTGTATATATTTATATACTGTATGCAATATATGAGGGATAATGAAAACTTTTCAGTCTAACCAAGAAGACTTTCCAAAAATATATTTGAAGTTTAGAGTTTGGGAAATATATTGGACCAATAACTTTTTATCTTCTTGTATATAAGTGTGTTAAGTTTGTATTGTATAAGCTTGTTTTCTTTAAAAAATATAGTTTTAGTTTTAGAATGAAAATTCAGTTTATAAAATTTTACTCTAAAGGATTTTAAATTAGATGTGTGTGTTGCAGGAGAGCAAGTTTTTCAACTATATGGCTTGCATCATTTTTCTTTTCTTTACAGTATGCTGGCCATCTGTTAGGGCAGTCATTGGTTTTGTTCTTTTGATAAT